CACAGACAAGATCTGCTCCTCCTTCCCTTATTTTGTATTGGAACATGTTAAAAGCAGCACAAAGTATTACACCATCCATAAACGAATCTCCACATGAGCCTCTCTCATCACAAAGATTAGCAAAAAACAACAGCATGTTAGTTACTTCACTCTCTGGATGGCATAAAGAAAGAGGCTGGGGAAACTGATTTCAATACAAAATATATACACACACATACAAGAGCTAGATTCCTAAGTATCAGAAACTAGGACTATCTATGATGATATCTGACATTATGTAGGTAAATACACATGCCCTGTGATAGCCCCATCACCCAGTCCTTAACCTCCAACTGTTCATATTCAGACTGTCCCGTTCCTGTGCACTTCACTCAGGCAGCCACTGCTGTCTAGGATCTGCCTCCCCTGCTCCGTTCAAAACCTGAATGTCAGCTGGGCCTATACCTATAATCCCAGCAGCTGGGGAGGCTGAGATAGGAGGATCATGAGTTCAAAGCCAGCCTCAGCAATGGTGAGGCTCTCAGCAACTCGGTGAGACCCTGTCTCTAAATAAAACACAAATAGGGCTGGGGATGTGGCTCAGGGGTTGAGAGCCCCTGAGTTCAATCCCTGGTACCAAAAGGGGAGAAAAAAAAAAAACCTGCATGTCCTTCCAGCTCAAGTTCTGCCTCACTTCCTCCATGAAGTCAACATACACCCCCAGTCAGACCTCTGCATTTTTTCAGCTCCTACTGCCCCTATTTTTAATTCACTGACACACAGTCTAGCAGGAATCTTTTTGGTCTTATAGGATTCACGAATTGTTGTCAAAACCAGACTTCTCATAAGCTCCTTGTAGGAGCAAAGAATGAAGTTTATACCTTGTTTGAAACATCTGCCATACTATGTGCACAGTATTTGCTTAGTCTGAATGAGGTAAAATAAATTTTTAGAAAAAAACAGAATAAAAAAGTCCTTAGAACAAAAGTAGTGCTGGGGGTATAGCTCAGTAGGAGAGCGCTTATCTACCAGCATGTGTAAGGCCCTGGGTTCTATTCCCAGGACGCCCCCCCCACACACACACACACACACAAGAAAGACATAAGTAGCCGGCACGGTGGCTCACACCACTAATCGCAGCAGCTCAGGAGGCTGAGGCAGAATGATTGTGAGTTCAAAGCCAGCCTGAGCAACAGCATAGTGCTAGGCAACTCAGTGAGCCCCTGACTCTAAATAAAATACAAAATAGGGCTGGGGATGTGCTCAGTGGTCGAGTACCCCTGAGTTCAATCCCCGGTACCAAAAAAAAAAAAAAAAGGAAAGATATAAGTACAGAAAACATTAAAGTCAGAAATCCAAAGTCTTTGTCTTTCACAGAACTAGTCCTCTATCCCTCTCAGATGTATTCAGGTTCTGACCACAGACCTTTTTATTGGTTTTCTGGAACAAAGAGGGATTACAAGACATGACTCTCAAGAACAAACTGCTTTCTTAAAAAAATAAAATAAAAGAAGACCTGCAGATAGCTCTGAAAATATTCACTCACCTTGAAAGTACTTGCCACACACCAGACAGGCATATGCATTGATATGTGAAAGGGAGATAGAGCACAGTTTCTCAAAGTCAAAGTCCAACACACTCCTAAAAGAATCAAAACAACACACAAAAAAAGACCACATAATCAATAGGTCAGTGTCTGGGAGGGCCCCAAACAGCTGTGTTGGCTTCAAGTCTAAGAGGGACCCAAACAGAGCCCCAGATTCCACGTGTCCCATAGAACCCTGCAGAGAATGGTTTAGAATCAACTGTAAATTGTGGAGCGCATTAATCATTCTCCATTTCCAGCTACCATGCCCAAGGCAGTGTGGAGGTGTCTGCACCTGACACATAATGCCCATGACCCTTTTCCTTAATAGAAGTAGTGTGCACTTATCCATGGGTTCTACACTGGTGGGTTCAACCAAACACATCAAAAGTATCTGGGAAAAAACAAAAACTATATCTGTAATAAACAAATACAGACATTTTTCTCCTGTCATTATTTCATAACCAATACAGTATGGTACCTATTTATACAGTACTTATATCAGCATTAATTAGTGACCTAGGATAATTTAAAGTGTGCAGGAGGATGAGCATAGATCACATGCAAATACCATGGCAATTCATTTTATTTAAAGGACTTGATTATCCACAGATTTTGGTATCCATGGGGGTTCTTAGTACCGGTCCTCCATATACCAAGGGATGATTATATTTGTAGCCAGTTAAGAACCCTTCATTATCATGACCTTCTCTGAAGGGAAAGGTAGATATAGGGCTATAGTAGGGTCCCCACGGCATTCTGGGAGATGAGAGGACATAAACAGACTGAATACACCATTTTACAAGAGAAAAAAATTCTTTTTTTTTTAACTATTTATTGTTTAGTTTTAGTTGGACACAATATCTTTATTTTACTTACTTATTTGTATGCGGTGCTGAGGATCGAACCCAGGGCCTCGCACATGCCAGGCGAGCGCTCTACCTCTAAGCCACAACCCCAGCCTGAGAAAAAATTCTTTTTCTCCATAAAAATAAGGGGGAAACTTGAAAGATTTTAGGAGAATACCTACAACTATATTATGTATTCAAGTGTCAAGTAATAGCATGTGAATACTGGACAGAAAGTAACAAAAAAAAAAAAAACTCTACCTCCACCAAACCCACAAGTGACATTGGGATTTCTCTAATGAATTATAAATGATCCTGTACAGTGCAGTTGTAACTACTGACAATTGTGTGTGTGGCGGGGAGTGGGGGGTACTGGGGGTTGAACCCAGGGGCACTCTACCACTGAACAACACCCTCAGCCCTTTTCATTTTTGAGACAGGATCTGTTGCCCAGGGTGATCTCAAACTTGCCATCCTCTGCCTCAGCCTCCCAAATAGCTGGGACTTCAGGTGTACGCTACCATGCCTAGTAGTAAATACTTTACGTTCGCTACTATTAAGTCTGTTGAATTCTCAGCATCGAGAATAATACCTGATATACAAAGAATGCTCAATAAATATTTGTTATTGCTATTTTAAGTATAATATGTGTCCTCTTATTTCAAAAAAACAAATTAAGAATAAGCTAAAAGCTCTTTATGTATATGCCCACCTTTTAAAAAAAGAAAATGATTTCTGCCACTTTATATTTGAAGAACAAAGATTAAATAGGGTATAATGGCTCACACTTGTAATCCCAGCAACTTGGGAGGCTCAGGCATTAGGAATGCTAAGTTCAAGGTCAGCATCAGCAACTTACTGAACCCCACAGTGTCTCAGCAAGACCCTGTTTCAAATTAAGTAAATAAATAAAAAGGATTAAGGATGTAGCTCAGTGGTAGAATGCCCCAGGTTCATTCTTCAGTAGACGCCCCCCCAAAATGACATTAACAAATATTGCAAGAAACACAATTTTCTTGGCAGAAAGCTTTTAAAGGAGTAAAGTGTTGTTTGATGTTCAATCCAAAGAATTTTCCATGTAGACCCCCCCACACACTTTTCTTAAGCCATCCTCAGCTTCTCTATCCTACTGACCTGTTAATGGTATCCAGATATGGGCAGTGGCGGCTCCTCCGATCCTCAGAATCCACGCGACCATTCTTTGCTAAAAGGAAAATCATTGCAGGTTTTGAAAATGACAACCCTATATTCAGAATCAACTACCAGTGCTAAGAAACAAAGAAATGGAAAAATCTAATCCTAATTTCTTATATGGCAAATCATCTTTTTTAAAAGTCCACTAGGGGAACAAGCCAGAAGCTGGAAGAATGTACTTGCTATGTATTTAACCAACAAGATTCATTTATACATTACATAAAGAAATTCAATGAGACATGGAAGATCTCGTGAACTATATCACAAGTGCTAAGATAAGGCCAATGCAATGCACAAGTACAGTTTAAAGTGTGTATGGATATCCTAAATGTGCCACTTGTCTGGATCCATGTCACAGATTTAACCTTTAACAATTTAGCCTACCAGTTTTCATGGATACTGAAGGACCACATTCGGCATTGGGTCCAAAACAAAAGACTGTTTAACAAGCAACAGCAGTGGCCAGAATATAGCAGGGGTGTCCGTCCTAGAGTCACTCCCACAAGGCTCCGGGAAGAGAAACTGCATAGGTGTGGTGCCTGACCAAAGAGCCCAGAGCCTACAGAACTCGCACCTTCTAGAGCTGGTTGGAGCCTGTCTCCCCTTGCTGTTCACTGCACCCACACGCTAAGCCCGGAGCCAAGGCCGCCAGCCTGTGGCCCACACGGGCAGAACCTCAGGGCCCGACGGAGAACAGTCTCCCAGGCCGTCCACCTTGCGGGCGGGACACAGCCAGTCTCAGGCGCGCGCCGACCCGTCCGTCCGCAGTAGGCACCGCAGGGCCCTATGAGGGGTACGGTGGCTGCGGAAGCCCTGGGCATTTGCTAAGGGGCGGCCGCTGGACCAGCGCGGTCTTCGCCGCGGCAGCGCCTGGACCCGACCCCGGCAGAGCAGTGGCGGGGCCGCAGGGAAACCCCAGACCGCCCGGGTGGCGCCCGCCCGCCCGGCCCCGCGCACCTCGCACCTCCCGCTCGGGCTCCGAGTCCTCGTCTGCCTCACGCTCCCGCTTCACCCGCGGCGCCGGGACGGTGGGCGCCGGGGCCTCGCGCGCGCTCGCCGGCTCGACCTCGCGCTTGACGCGCACCGGGCTGCCCCGGGAGCCGGCCGCCTCAGGCTCCCGCTCGCGCTCGCGCTCCCGTTTTGAGCGACCCGAGCTGCTACGCGCCTCGGACTCGCGCTTCCCGCGGGCCGAGCCCCGCGACTCCCGCTTAGACCGGCTGGACATCGCCACCGCCAGCCCAGCAACCCGCGCAGGCGCCTGGACGCCGAACGCGCGGCACGGGGCCAATCAGGAGCCTCGGAGCGGCCGAGCTCGACGCGCTCTACGAGTCGCCGGCGGAGACAATTCACGCGCCAGGAAGCGCCGGAGGTGCGGCGCGCGGAGCTGCCTGACCTCAGGACCTGTTGGCTCTCCTTGGTTAAGAGACAGGGACGTTTTATCGGTACTGCGTTTTCTGGATAGTGGCAGTTGTACTTGGAACTTTATGCCTCGAAACCGCCATCGGAGGTTGCCTCGCGCAACCTCCTCGCCTTGGAGGCTGATGAGCTCTTAAACAGCAAAGCCTGGATTTGAACCCAGGCAGAACTCTGTCCACTCGTCCACTCCCTTCCAATCTTATTGCTGGACAAATGTGTGCTGTGCATCTACCTTGTAACAAGACCTTCACAGGAAAAGGGAGCTATATGCATGCCACCTTAACCCCTCCGTGCGGGTACCTGGAGGCACAATTCCTCATTTAGAGGGTTCTTGGTATCATGAAACTGCAAACGCCCTGCCAGGAGTGTTCACCATGCAACCACTGAAGACCCCACGGCTGTCTCGAGCTCCTTTGCCCGTCTTTATGGGTGTGGGGGGTTTGCGGGGCTGGGAGTCTCACGGGTCTCACACACGCTGGGCGGGTCTTACAACGCTGGGCGCAGGCAGTTCCGCCTGCCTGTCTGAACTGGTCCACTGCGGTTCGTTGACAGGGAAGATGCTGTAGGTCTAACGTCTGCAGTTTGCTAAATTCTGACATATGGTTGCACCTGCAAAGCCATCCCCGCAAGGAAAAGAGGGAAACTGTCCTTGTACGCCAGGGAGGCCACGCGGTCTGCTGACCTGCTGTCCCCTAGAGTGGCCGTGCTCCCTGGAGCGCAATGCCCAGGCCCCACTACGCTCGCTCTCTAGCTAGGCTCTTTTGCCCGGCATCGGTGTTCCGGGATCCGGGCTCTGGCCGTGTCGTGCAGGGGTACAGACTGCTCGATTCTTTGCTTGAGCAGTAGCTTCCATCGCGGAGATGGGCCACGGTTTGTTCCTGTTCTAACATGAATTCCTGATTTTGACCTTTGAAGTGAGAGCCTGACGCGAGAGACCAGTGAGCCGTGCAGGCTGCGGGCCCGAAAGCCTGCGCGATCCCAGTGCTGCCTCGCGGCCTGAAGCAAGCACTCGGTTCTGGGTGACTCCAGTGCACAGCGGGGTTAGGGCGTCCTGCCAGGACTCGAAGCTGGTGAAGGAACGTCACAGTTTGTGCGACAGGAAGAGTGACACGTGGGGTGCTCCCACGTGGGTTGCATTTTTCCGAATTTTCCCTTTTTTTCTGCACTAGGACTGAACTCGGGGCTTGGCCCGTGCCAGGCAAGCGCGCTGTCACCGAGCCACGCCGCCTCAGCCCTTTTGTTCCCTGGGCTTCCCTGTGGTCCGCTGTGGGCCGACACCCTCGCTTCCTGCTAATAGCGTCCCAAGGAAAACTGCTCCTCGGCAGCCGCGGGGGCCCAGCGCCGCGCCGCACGCCCAGGGCCGGAAGTCGAGCCTCGAGCCGGAAGTCGGGCCTGGCGAGGATCGGGGCCGCGGCTGGACCGTTGACGGCCGGCGGTGGCTCCACACCGCGCCGTTCCGAATGGAGGCGGCGCCGGGCCCCGGGCCGAGGCTCTGCTGCCGGCCCGGCGGGCGGCTGGACATGAGCCACGGCTTCGTGCACCACATACGACGGAACCAGATCGCTCGGTACCGCCCCGCCCCACCACCACCCCTGACCCGGCCCGGCCCGGCCCGCCGGCCCTGACTCCCGCCCGGCTCCCCGCAGGGACGACTATGACAAGAAGGTGAAGCAGGCCAAGGAGAAGGCGAGGAGGCGGCACACGCCCGCGCCCACGCGGCCGCGCAAGCCCGACCTGCAGGTGTACCTGCCGCGGCGCCGAGGTGAGCCAAGGCCCGAGCCGCCCGCCGCACAGCCTCCCAGAGAACCGCGGCCCGGCTGCAGCCTCGGCGGTCGGAGGGGCCTGCGAGCCGGCGAGGAGACTGCCAACCGCCCGTCCCTCCGAGTCGTGTGCGAGTGTCACCGCTGCCCGGCAGAGACGCCTGGCACAAATATAAGTAACCAGAACATAATTACGGAGGAGTCCAGAGAAATGGCCCTTTGCCCAGCTTCCTTGTGACGTGCAAGTCACGTAATTGACCTGTGGCACTGAGCTTGTTAAGTGTTGTTTAAAATGCTTTTAGGTCATGTGTAGATCCGTTCGTTGAATGCGAATTAGAACTGTTCAGGTTTCCTTATTGTTGGTTGGCAACAGGCGTAGACAAGTAGAGTAACTTGCCCAAGACCTCAGAGTTCTTAAACAGCAAAGCCTGGACTTGAACCCAGGCAGAGCTCTATCCATTCTTCCACTCCCTCCCAGTCCTATTGCTGGACAAATATGCACTGTGCATCTACCTTGTAAAAAGATCAAGCCAGCCCAGAGCAGGGATACCAAGGGTAAGAAACCTCCTGGCTGGAAGCATAGCGCACACGAGCACAGGGGTCCTCAGAAGAGCAGGGCTCTCTTCCCTGTGTTCTCCTGCATCATCTCTGTGGGCAGGCCCTTCAGCAGCATCCCTTCTTCCCTCTCATTCTGGTTCATCCCTACAGATGGTTCTACCCACCCAGGCAACCCAGACTGTGAGGAGTCCGGTGAAAGCAGCAGTAGTGGTGGCTCCGAGCTGGAGCCTTCTGGCCATCAGCTCTTCTGCTTAGAATACGAGTCGGACAATGGAGAGGTCACATCAGTTATCGTGTATCAGGTACGCCTCATGGAAACAGCTGCCACCTGAAGGTCCTGGGCTGTGGTAGAAATCACTTCCAGACCCAGCGCCACTGTTTGCCTCAGGGCCAGTGTGAAGATTGCCCCACGTGAGAGCACAGAACTGCCAGGCGATGCTCAAGAGCACATCTCAGTTCTGTCTCGGTGATTCTCAGTGGGAGAATCATCATTGTGACCCCCAGTTGAGAATCACTATTGCAGGGGACACCTGAGAAATGACAGGTACTGACAAGAAGCCTTGAGCCAAATGGAGTTCTGTGAGAGTGTTGTCTGGGGACAGGGAAGGTTGCCTTTCTGCAAGAGACGAGGCCCTGAGCTTCCTGACTCTTCCTCCACGTAGGACGATGACCCAGGAAGGGTGAGTGAGGAAGTGTCAGCACACACACCTCTGGATCTGCCCATGCGAGAGGCCCTCAAGTTGCGTATCCAGGAGGAGATTGCCAAACGCCAGAGCCGACACTGACCAGGTGGAAGGCATTCTCTCCAGGCCAGAATCCTGCACTTGGATGAATTCTAACTAGGGAGCCCACCGTACATTGCGGTGCTAGGACTTGTCTGTCTGATCTTGAGACCCTTATAAGCTGCTGCCTCCACAGGGGTGTTGCAGGGCTACACCTAGCCCACCTCCCTTGCAGCAATTCTTTCTTGTATGTTGACCATTTGGCTGGCCTATTGTCTTGGAATTTTTTGAGAATTTTGATTAGAGAACCTGGTGCTCTTGAAGCTAAGAACTTAGGGAGAGCCAGGGTTTATAAAGCCTTTTGCCAATACTCTTGCTCTCTCACTGAAGTCATATGCCTGACCACTCACGCCATGAGCCGTGTTTGTTACTTTATCGTTTTCTTTCATGTTTCTGCTTCCACCATAGTTTCCTAGACCCCCCCCCCTCCCCGCCCCTTAAGTTTTGTTCTTTTTGCCTCAGGTAGAACCCATCAGTTCCTTTCACCCCATCTCTTGACATGACTATGCATCTCCACAACTAAGGGCTTTGCTGGTGGGGAGTTCTGGGCATCTACCTTTCTAACAAGTTCTCCGAATATTTCTGGCACCAGTAAGATGGGAGAGGCCTGCTTGGAAGCTTGTTCTCTTCCCCTTGCATGACTTCTTCCCATGCTCCACTGCTTTGTGCTGTTTAGATAGGCCACCTAGGAAAAAGATGCTGTTGTAAAATCTGGGGATCTCAGTGAATCCTGCTTTAGTTAGAGTTAAGCAATTCCAGCTTTTGATCCCATCCCCAGTTGTGAATAGACTATTCTCTGTTCAGACTAAAGGGGAATTGTCAAAACAAGGTATTAAAGTCCAGAACAGTTTTGAATGTATGTGCAAAGTGGAAATCAGCATAAGTTTAGAGCCCCAGTAGCCAGAAAAAAAAAAAAAAAGTCCTGAAGAAAGCCCATACTAGAAAAAGTAAAATTAGCCCCTTATCTGCCCCACATGTTTTCCTTTCCTACCTCCAAAAAATATACAACTAAGAGTCTTGTAGAGCCCCAGTGATAGTATGTTGGCCCATTTGGCTGGCCTATTATCTTGAAATTTTTTGAGAATTTTGATTAGAGAACCTTGTGCTCTAGTAGCAGAGACCTTAGGGAGAGCCAGGGTTTATAAAGCCTTCTGCCAATATGCTGTATGTAGAGAATTTTTATTTTTTGGAATGGTCCCAGGAATCAAACCCAGGGCCTCTTGCATGCTAGGCAAGCACACTGCTACTGAGCTCCATTCTAACACAGGGTTAGACAAGAGGACTGAGGGGTGCAGCTCAGTGGTAGAGTACCTGCCTAGCATGCACCCGGCTCTGGGTTCAGTCCCCAGCACCACTTTGGGAGGTGGGGAGGAGGTGGGGAGGCTAAGGTCTAAAGTCTACAAGACATCCTGTGCACTGAAGCTCCAAAGCACCTCGGTTTCCCAGCAAATCAAACTAACATCAGTGACTCCAAATGTGGACTGTAAGTGAGCCTGTGAGCACTGAGTCCCTGAAACCAAAATACCCATCCCCAGGGGTTTCTGTATACAAACAGGATCTCAAGATCAGTCTGACTGTTCCATCTCTTAAAGAACACCTAAGGGCACTGTTGGTTTGTGTCCTGCACCCCTGAAAACTGACCCCTGGAGAATGGGGCGAGGCAGCTACTTCAACTGCACTATTACAACATTAAACACTATGAGCCACAACTTGCAGTATCAGAGAAACACTGGGAAGTGAGTACGGTGGTAAGTTAGAGGGGCCTGTGCTCCAGACCTACATTGCTAGCCCAAGTGCCTTAAACCTTAGTCCCAGACTCAGTTCTGCTTTTAGAGGAGAAAGTCTCTGACCTCTACTTATGCATCTAGCTATAAAGTGCCTTTGGACCTAGAATGTCAGCTACCATCCAGCACCTGGGCCAAGGGGGCCCTTCCAGACTCTACCCACTTCTTCCTGCAGGGAAAGGACCAGTCTTTTTAGTCTTCCAACTCTCCAAGTGATATGTGACTTGAAACATGGGCTCTCACTGGAAGTCTGCCTCCCTGGGAGGGAGGCGGTATCTGTCTTCTCGCAGCTTGATTGCCTGTTTCCTGGTTTTATGATAGAACATAGAGAAAGAAGGCCCCAAAAGGAGTCGGGGGGCACGGCACCATTCCTGTCTCTTGAAGAGGGAAGAGGTAAAAGAAGGCAGTGTTTAGTGATTGCCTGTTGGGTCCCTTTGTGTGTTTGTCATGTGGGTCTCACAAAGGCCCCTTAAGGCAGAGGAGGATAGAAAGTCCTTACTTTTACCCTTTTTTTCTTTAGGAACTTTTGTTTATCAAGGACATATATTTTCTACCCATGACAGCATTCTAATGCATGTATGACTTTTGCAGTGACTAAATAAAGCGCTGAGGCCTGTACTTCAGTGAGAGGTGGTCCTTCAGAGCTGCCCTGCTGGAGCAGATACTGCTGTCTGCCCCAGAGCTCGGCCCCACTGCTTGCCACCATGGTCCATCTGGGGCCAGGATGGTGCTATCCACCTTATGTAAACCTGCCTCCAGACAGCTTGCACCTGTTTCAGAAACTCATGCTTTGCCTGAAGGAGCATGTCCACAGCATTTCTCACAGGTTCTAGAGCTGTCCACAAGAGGAGTACCTTCTGCCGGTCAGTGCTGAGGCAGCAATCTTAGCCTGAGTGAAGCAACACTCACTTGAGTAGATATGTTCTCAGCTGTCTTAAAGAAAAGTCTGATAGGCATGTCCATTGGGTATGGAGTGTTCCTCCCTCTGTTCTTAACTGAGGTTAAGCCCGAATTTTAAAGCTTTTGTTTCCTGGGCCACAAAGGGTGATTACCAAGAGGAGGTAGCCATCATGCAAGGTCTTGGAACTGTGCTTCAGTGAGCTGTGAAGCCGGAGTTGCAGCCCACTGGCAAGCAGGAGGCCTTGGAGTGCAGCACAGGGAAAGGAAAGGAAAGCTGTGTGAGGTGGGAACCCCAAGCCCCACCAGCCAGTAGGCTAACACTCACAGGAAGAGCCTCTCTGGACAGGAGACTGCCAATCGGAGATGAGTCCACAGGATAGGAGGAAGCCCTTGGGTGGTGAGTGCCCAACCTGCTGTGAATTTGGCAAGATCCATGAACTCAGGGTGCTGGGTTCCCTGATGGTTCACAATTTAAATGAGGAATGAGAATGGAGTCCCCTCTTGTCTCAGCCTTTGGGAAAATCACCATGGGATGCTGACCAGTATTTGACATACTTTAACTCCTCTAAATTCCTGTCCTGTCCTCCAGGAATCACATGACCAAGAAGCCATAGGTACCCACCCCAAGTTTCCCCAGGAGTTGGAGTGAGGTAGAAGTGAGGACCTGCTGAGTGAAGGGCTCCTCCGCCTGGCAGGTTGCACTGGCTGCTTTGAGGTGCCAGGTGTGAAAAGGCTTTGGTTGTGTTTTCTGGCTCCCAGTGTATCTGCTGTTGTGGGTAAATAAAACAGTGTACAGACTATTTGAAAGTCCCAGATGGGAGACACTTTTCAAAAGCAGTATTTTGTTAAACCAATAAACTATGTTTACAGCACTGTTTTGTCAAGAGTTGTGAAATCATTTGTGTTATGTGGGCAGAGGAGATTAGTTCCTGCCCTGAAGTCACTCTAGCATCTCCTCTTGTTTTGCCTGTTTTAAGAGCACAACAGCTAGGCCTACTCAGCATTAGCAGTAGAAGAGAGTTTTGGAAACATCTGATTTGCCCCACCAGGTACTCAGAAGGAGACCCTTTGTAGTAGGGAGCTCTAGCTTGGACTTATTCTAGTTTAGGAGCATTGGGATTGTCATATTAAGCCTAAAAGTGCCTCCAGTGTCACAGCTCCAGAATGCTAATGCCTTATACCCCACGTCATATTAGAACAGCCAGTTGAATCTGAGGAGTCCTCTCAGCCTGGTGATTGGACAGTGGTGCAGACCCAGCTCAACAGGAGCACAGTAAGTGTTGAAAACCACGAAGCTTGGCAGGGATGGTGGCCACACCTGTAACCCAGCAACCTAGGAGGCTGAAGCAGGAGGATCACAAGTTCAAGGCCAGCCTGGGCAGCTTAGTGAGACCCTGTCTCAAAAATGAAGGACTGGCTATAATCCCCAGTGCTGCTAAATAAATAAAGACAAACAGGCACCCCTTTGACCTTGGGACCAGCCAAAGGTAGTCTGATTGTATGTCCCCTAGTTCAGCCAGGTTTTTGAGTTGTTTTTGTTTTTTGAAACAAGAGTCTCCTAAGTTGGCCAAGCTGGCTTCAGCCTCCAGAGTCAGGAGGGTCACAGGCCAGGCACCACTACATCTGCCACAGCCACACTAGTTTTTATTTCACATTATAGCCATACTTTTTTTTTTTTTTTTTTAATACCAGGGATTGAACCCAGGGGCACTTAACCACTGAGCCACATCCCCTTTTGTATTTTATTTTGATACAGGATTTCACTAAGTTGCTTAGGGCCTCACTAAATTGCTGAGGCTGGCTTTGAACTTGCCATCCTCCTGCCTTAGCCTCCCTAGCGCTGGGATTTCAGGCTTAGGCCACCATGCAGCCTTATTTCTTGACCCTGCTTTAACTCCTACTCCTGATGTGAGCCGGAAAAGGACTCCCCATGTCCACCTTCTTTGGGTGTAGGTTCCATTTCTACCCCCAGTGGGGTCCAAAAAGGTTTCTCTTCGCCATTGCAGTTTCTTCTGCTGTTTCCTTGCATTCTGGGGCCCTGTTTGTGCACATAACCTTTGCCTCACCTATGTGGCCGCCTCTTGCCCCTGAGCGCTGGCCGTCCCTGTTGGACCGGCTAGTGACCTGACTCCATGGCCGCCCAGCAGTGCCATCGCAGGCCGGGCTGCCTTCAGGCAGACCCAGGCACACTTGCGGTATGTGAAAGCAAGCATTCCTGCCTTTCAGTCATGAAAAGAATGTCCTTGGCCTCTACGTTACGGTGACGCTAGTGGATAGCTTAGCCCGCACAACCCTGCCTCCTCCTCCCGGGGCCTGGGGCTGGCCCTCCTCTCCTGACTCCCACACCTGGCCACCAGAACCCCTACCACCCTGCACCTGGTGGATCGCTCAGAGCGCACACCCCCTGGTGCTGACCAGTCGGGGAGCGCCTGGACGCAGCGACCTCTGGCCGGCTTTCGGTGTTCTCATGCGTGCGAAGAGAGCGCGTGAGGAAAGCCGCGCGGGGTCGGCAGGGTCGGCGGCCGGTGCGGACGCGCCTCGGCGGCGCGCGGCGGCTCGGGAGTTGTAGTCCCGGCGGCGCGGACTGCAGGTCCCGGCGGGCGGCGCGGCGCGGAGGGGCGGTGGGGCGGGGCCGCCGGCCCTTTAAACGCGCGGGGCTGCTCCGGGGGCCGCAGCCCAGGACCGCGCCACGAGGGCCTAGCGGGGCGCGGCGGCCGGCGCTCGCGCGGTGCGTAACCCCCTCCCGGCGCCCCCGCACTCTCCCCGCGCGCCCTGGGCGCCCCGCGGCCCTCGGGCGAGGGAGGGGTCCCTTGCCGAAGCCGCTGCCCGCGGAGTCGCGCGGCACGCCGGGGCCCTGCGGGTACCGAGAGCTGCAGGTTGAGGCGTGAGCGCAGCCCAAAGTTTGCACGCCCACCGGGCCGGGGCGAGGTGTGGACCGCCTCCCTTCCCCCGCCCCTCCCCTGCTTTGGCAGGGGACCCTGGACTTCGATCTCTCTCCCCACCAGGCCGGGGCAGCTGATGGTTGTGGCCCGCCCCCTCTTCCCCACCTGCCTCCTGTCCGCCCCTCACCTCCACCACCCTGGCTCCCCTCCCTCATGACCGCCTGGATCCTCCTTCCTGTCAGCCTGTCAGCGTTCTCCATCACTGGCATATGGACTGTGTAAGTAAGAGGGGCTGGGGGGCGGGGGACAGCGACCTGATGCTTGATGGCACACACAATGTCCCTTGTCCTGTAGTAGGCTCCAGGGTGGTGCCCAGGGTCACTTTGGCTGCCTCCAAAGCCTGGCCTGGTGCCTGGGCACACAGCCCCTTGGACAAGCTGGCACCACTGCCGGGCAGCGCAAGAACCGACTGACAGGCTGTAGCCAGGGCAGTTTCCAGAGGGTTTCCAGCTGGGGCCCTGACGCAGCTCTGGTGTAGTCAACGCTCAGCCCAGCCTCAGCCCAGCCGCGATCCCGGCCCAAGTCCCCAGCAAGGCCGACAGCCTGGATGGGGCCAGCAGTCAAGATGGAGAGGCAGGGGGTGGCTGGGCCAGGAGGGACTGTCCACAGGGTGACGGTTCTCCTCCCACAGGTATGCCATGGCCGTGATGAACCGCCACGTGTGTCCCGTGGAGAACTGGTATGCAGTGCTCCGCAGGCAGCTCGCTCTAGAGCTCCCTTCATCTGTCCCCTCCTGGGCCCTCTGCTGCACAGCTGGGCGCAGGCCCTGGGCCTCGCTCTCTGACGTTGGTCCCAGGCACAGCTTCCTGCCTGTCTGCCCACCTTCCACCATCCCTTCACCCCTCTGGCTTCTGCTTCAGGCAGGCTCTGGGAAGCAGGCTCTGGTTCCTTGCTGGGGAGGTCTGGGAGCGGGTCCTCCTCGAGGCCTAGGGCACCCCCTCCCCCAGTCTACTCAGTGTCCTGCCTGCCAGGTCCTACAACGAGTCCTGCTCTCCTGACCCTGCTGAGCAAGGGGGCCCCAAGACCTGCTGTACTTTGGACGATGTCCCCCTCATCAGGTAAGTCAGGGAGACAAAATCCTCCCAGACTTCCAGAAAGCCCTTAGACCAAGGCCTGTCCCTGGGTCACAGGAATAATCATCATACTAAGAACTACTTAATACCATTTGGTTGCTAGGAGCTGGCTCTGCTGAGGGCGTTGTGTGTGATGCCCCTTAATTCTCCCAGCAGGGAGGCTGCTGTTTTCTGTTATAGGTGAGGAAACTGAGGCTCAGAGTTATTGGGCAGGTCAGAGACAGTAAGTAGGCAGCTGGATTTAAGCTGACATCCTTGGTTGCCCAGCCAGAGGCCTTAGCAGGGACTCAGCTCACCAGCACTCCAGGGTACCCCAGGGAACCCCTTAATTGCTCCACACAGGGCTCTGCTGGGGGCTCAGTCTGGGGCCAGTGTTTATGGGGCTCACTAGCCCTCCTCATCACTCAGTGCTTTGCCCACTGAGGAGCAGGCAGACCAAGGAAGCAGGGGACAGAGGGGCTGGCCAGTGCTGCTGCCTCATGCCATCCTTCCCTCCACAGCAAATGCGGCACCTACCCCCCCGAGAGCTGCCTCTTCAGCCTCATTGGGAACGTGGGAGCTTTCATGGGTGAGTGGTACCTCAGCCCCACCTCACCAGTCCAGTCAGCCCCTACACTCTTCAGGAAGGCCCAGAAGCCCTTGCTCCTCAGCCATCCTCCAAGGGGAGACCATAGGGGCAGCAGCTCTCCTGTTCTTGAGGACCAAAGGCCAGCTCCCACACTGCCACCCCAGCTACTTGCCAGTCCCAGCCTTGTCTGTCCCCTTTGGGCCCTCAGAAGGGCCTTGGAAGGGGCAGGACTGGCGGGAAGTGCCAGGCTGGCCCCAGCAGTGTCTCCTCTCCCAGTGGCCCTCATCTGCCTCCTGCGGTATGGGCAGCTCCTGGAGCAGAGCCGGCACTCTTGGGTTAACACCACAGCGCTCATCACAGGCTGCACCAACGCCGCGGGCCTCGTGGTGGTTGGCAACTTTCAGGTGCCCCCCAACACCCTATGGACTTCCCCTAGTAGGGCCTGACTGCCTGCAGGGGCACCACCTCAAGGTGGAGGTGGAGGAGAGGGGCTGGGAGGGACAGGAGGGCCTGCACGTTAGCACATACTTGTAATCTCAGCAGCTTGGGAGGCAGAGGCAAGAAGATTTCAAGTTTGAGGCCAGCCTCAGCAACTTAGCAAGATCCCATCTCAAAAAATAAGGGCTGGGGATATGGCTCCCTGGTAGAGCACTCCTGGACTCAGGCGCCAGCTCTATGGATGTGGGGGGACCTTACGATGGGCCTCTGCCTTGTCAGGTGGACCATGCCAAGCCTCTGCACTACGTGGGAGCTGGTGTGGCCTTCCCTGCAGGACTGCTCTTTGTCTGCCTGCACTGTGCCCTGTCCTACCATGGAGCCACCACCCCCCTGGACCTGGTGGTGGCCTACCTGCGCAGTGTGCTGGCTGCCATCGCCTTCGTCACCCTGGTCCTCAGTATCCTTCTAAGACGGTGTGGCCAGGAACTCACCCATTAGTTCCTTTCTCCTCCTAGATGGGGTGGGCCTAGTAGATTCCAGTCCACACTGTCCATGGGGAGGCCTGACCCTTGTCCCAGCCTGATCAATGTGTGGGACTGCAGAAGGGGTGCTGCCAGGTCCCCGCACAGCCTCCTGAGCCCTTCCTTAGCGGTGTTCCAGGTGGCGTCTTCTTTGTCCACGAGAGCTCCCAGTTACAGCATGGGGCAGCCCTGTGTGAGTGGGTGTTCGTCATAGATATCCTCATTTTCTATGGCACCTTCAGCTATGAGTTTGGGGCAGTGTCCTCAGACACTCTGGTGGCCGCTCTGCAGCCTGTCCCTGGCCGGGCCTGCAAGTCCTCGGGCAGCAGCAGCACCTCCACACACCTCAACTGTGCCCCCGAGAGCATCGCCATGATCTGAGTCCTGGAGGGGGGCTGGCCAGCTCTGCAGCACCCCTCATCTTTGCATTTACTTTGTACCAAAAACCATTTTTAGAAAGTATTCTGTTGGGATCTGGGCGTCCTCGCCTGGGAGAAGTGGCCATGCGTGTGCCGCAGAGCTGCTTTGTGCTCAGCCAGTCCTCCCCTCCAGCCAGCCCTCAGGTGCCTTCTCCCAGTGCCACAGCCAGACCACTGGGGCTTCCTGCTGCAGGAATTGGGGGCTGGGGACAGCAGGGAGGATGAGTCTAGGGATGGGAAGAGCACGCCTTAGCCTACAGGAAGGCCCGCCCTGGGCCCCTGAGCTGCACTGGATCTTCACTCTGCCCCTCACTTCCTTTAGGGCAAATAACACAGCAGAACCACATGGGTATTTTAGTACTTTTTTTATATCTATTAAAAGAATTCTAATTTGCATGTTGTAGTCTCTTCTGGAATAAGGGGGAGCGTAATCCGGATGGCTTTCCCTAACCCCTGCCCCCAGAGAGAGCCCAGAATATACACAGCTCTTTAAGAGCAGGGCTGTCAGGAACCAAGGATGCCAGACACTATCCAAAGACCCATCAGAGCTTGAAACCCTTCCTGGGCCTCTAAACTGTCTAAAGTCCTGACCTGGCCTGACAGCCTCACTTCCTTCCCCCACTCAGTCTGGTTTGAACTTTGATTCTAAGGTAGGGGGATATGGGGAGGGAAGGATACAGAGCAACTTTTAAAATGTTAAAAGCAATTTTCTCTCTGGTGCTAAAGAACACTCTAGGATTCCAAGGTTAACTGAAGGTTCCAAGGTTAACTAGAAATTGCAGTGGGGGGAGGGAAGTGCAGGTTAGTTTATCAGCTTTAAATAGCTGCGGGGTACAGGCCCTGGCAGACTGTGCCTTCCAACCACCCGTACAGGCCAAACCTTGGCTGCCCGGTGGCAGGCTCTTTACCTGAGCTCCACCACCCTGAGTCCAGACAGGCCGCTGGGGAGGGAAATGCAGCCTGGCACCTTCTGCTGTTCAACACCACCTCACCCAAGAGCAACAGGGACCTGGTAGAGGACACCAGCCCCTGCCCCAGCCTGTGAACAATGCAGTCGCAGGTGGGCAAAGACACGTTTAATGAGGGTTCAGGTGTGGAGGGAGACGCTGTGGAGGGTGGGCACTCAGCCCAGCTGCCTCACGTGTACATGGCCCCATGGAGGTTCTCCAGGCGGTGCTGCTGCTGCTGCTTTCGAGCCTGAAAGACAGAGGGAACACAGGCAGGGCCAGCCTGAAGACCCACGGGGAGGGATGGGCAGCAACCACAGGACTGGATCTCATGTTGGGCCCCTAGCTTCTGCATTCTTGAGATTTCTGTTCCTTTAGTGATCACTGGAAAGGTGGCCAAAGCCAGGGAATCCAAAGGCCTAGCCCAGCCTGCTGAGGAGGAGAATGAGCACAGCGGGGCCAGGCCAAGGACCCATGATAGCCCTCACCAGCTCCTACCTTATCTCGTCTATGCTCCTCGTATGTATCATCATCAGTGGGCAGCTCGTGGCGGCACAGGGGGCAGGAATTTGTCTGGGAAAAGTAGGTTATGTTTCAGCCCAAGTCTGGTCTCATTCACAAGCTAATCACCCTCCCCAGCTCCCCAACCCCTACTCCACTGTTCTTTGATCCCAGAAAAAACCCTAAGAACTGATGATAGGAAGGAAGGAAGCAGTACCTTGCTCAGCCAGGGCAGAATGCAGTTGGAATGGAAGAGGTGATGGCAAGGCATCTCAATGACAGTCTCCTGCTCCTCAAATTCCAAAAGACACACGGGGCACTTGAGCTCTTGAGGAGGGAGTGCTGATCAGGAGAGCGGCTGCAGGCTTCCCCACCCAGCTCCCACTCCCGAAGGGCAGGCTTGCCCCAGTGGGGGTCTGGAACTCTGAAGGGCCAGACCACAGTCTGCAGACCTGCCCCGACAGCAGAAGGATGTGATGTTCTCACCAGCCTGAGAGCCACTGATGACTGTCCTGGGGAGGCTCTCCACCACAGCCTTGGCAGCTGGTGGAGGCAGGTGGTGATCCCAGTCTACGACCAGTCCCAAGTCTTCAAGATCCATCCTATTGAAGAGAGACCTGGGAGGAGGCTGCAAGGTCAGAACCAAGAAAAGCCACACTTCCTCTTTGCCCCCAAAGTAACTGAGGACAAACACACAAATACCCTGCCCAGCCTGGTACCCAGACACTAGCAATCCTGTAATCCCAAAACTCAGGAGGATGACACTTTCAAGGCCAGCCTCAGTAACTTACCAAGACCTTGTATCAAGAGAGAGGGACTCGGGGTATAGCTGGGTGGTAGAGTGTTTTCCAGCATCCCCCTGAGACCCCAGGATCTATCCCCACTACCAAAAATATATCCCCAAAAAATGTGCCCAGTACCAAAAAATGTGTGTGATGTGTGTGTGTACACACACAAAATTTTAAAAATAAAAAGGGCCAGGTGCAGTGTTGCACGCCTGTAATCCCAGCGACCAGAGAGGCTGAGGTAGGAGGATGTAAGTTCAATGCCGGCTTCAGCAACTTAGTGAGGTCCTAGGCAACTTAGCAAGACCTTGACTCAAAATAAAAACTAAAACGGGCTAGGAGCGTAGCTAGTGGTTGAGCGACCCTGGATTCAATTCCCAACTAGCAGTAATAACAGCTACCCTGTACACAGTTGGCGCTCATTATAGATAAAAAGCACATGGGACTGGCTTGCAGCTGATCCGAACACCCCGGCACTTCGGGGGAGTAGCCCAGGCCACGCACGGCCCTCCGGGAGCGCCTGGGCCCGAGCCGCGGTGGGCTGGGCCGCTTCCCCTCGGCGCCCCGCCCCCCAGGCCCCGCCCCGGCCGGCCCGCGCCCACCTTGCGAGCTCCAGCAGCATGTTGGTTCGGGCATCCTGCTCGCGGTCCAACGGCTCGCAGTCGTGCTCGTCGAAATAGGACGCCATGGCCGCTGCGGTCTGACACAGCCCTCGTACCCGCTGGATCGCGGCCCCGAGGCGCTGGCCAATAAACTGGCGACTTGGGAGGAGCCAGCCAATCAGGATACTGGAAGGGCGGGCGTAGTGGTTGGTTAACATACAGAAAGCGGAAGTACTGATTCTGCCGTCTCTGGTTGGTAGGACGAGTCAGGTGACCAAAGACTGCGACCAATGGGATCGGAGGAAGAAGGAATTCCCGGGAATTTCTGGTGTGGTCTCAGTCGTGGAGGCGAAAGGGCGGTTGCGGTCTTCCACCGCTCGTGGCCTCGCCGTCTCAACGTGCGGGTGCTGGAATCTGCACCTCCTCGCTGCGCGAGGAAGAGCTCCTGCGCTTCCGATATATTTGCTTGGCGATGAACGCGGGCAGCCTCACCTTTGCTCGGGGCTGTTTACCTTAGCCCCATGCGCAGCTTCTTGAGCTAAGTTACTAGTTTGTATCCCTGGCTGCATATCATTTCCCCCCCCCCCCCAGAAGAGCGGGTAGCGCTCTTTTCGGGAAGATTTAAAACTAGCCTGTCTGCGGAGGGGCGTGTGTCCGTTCTGCAGGTGATTCTAAGGCGAGGCAGTGCTGAGAATCATTGCACTGGATTATTTGCATTGATGGATGTTTTACAAATAGTATCAGTGATCCTTGCAATAGTCCTGGGAGCTAAACACAATCATGCAGTATTGATTTTAGCTGCTGGGGTTTGAACTCAGGGCCTCTAAGTGCGTGCTTTCCCCTGAGCTACTCCCTCAGCCTCTCTTCTGCCCTTTTAATTACGTAAAACGCAAGTTTCAGAAGTGACTGGCCCGGCCTCAGCAATTTAGGGAGTCCCTCAGAAACCTAGTGAGACCCTGTCTCAAACTAAAAAAGAATAAAATGGCTGGAGTTGTAGCTCAGTGGTAAATCACAATTGGGACCAAATCCCCAGTGCCAAAAAAGGGTTCACTCAAAATGACACAGTCTGTAAATGGTGCTTCCATCTTTCCCAGAAGAGGAAGACGGTGATAAGTCCAGTGAAAGTGTACTTTCACTGTGTCACACTGTGAGTAAAGGTCACAAAACTCTGAGTTTTTTCTTCTTTTGTCAGTAGCAGTCTATCTAACAAGGAACTGCTAATTTTACACACTTTACCTCTAATTCCCTTGCCACTCACTTTTGAGTTTGAGCTGCAGTTAAGTAGCCCATGCAGAGGCTGCCCTGCTTCCACAGTGTGTGGGACCTTCTTTCCTTCTTCCATGCCTGTGGCCACATGTGTCTCTGGAACGTTGAAATGTCTGGATTCTTTCCTACAGGACGAACTTCTTTGTGACCCTACACTGCAGTACCACAGGAGCCTTCCTGCAGGTGTTAAAGTTTAAGAAGGAACATAGGCAGTGAAATTGGGGAGGGGGAGTATTAAGAGGGGAAATGTCTATCTGACTCTGCATCCCTCTTTTCTCTTCCCTGGTCCATTGGGCCTGGATTCTAGAACCTCAGCTTCCTCTGAGCTGCCCCAGGTGGGGAGCTTCCTGGGACCCCACTGCTGCAGGTGATGACCTCATGAAAACATCTCTGAAGTACTGTCCTCCCACCTAGAGTCCCTCTGAGTTTCCCAAGATGTCAAAGGTAATAGATTTGATGTTCAGGAAAGCAGGCTCAAGGTTCTGGTTTGACGACTGTTGTTATAACAAGGACTTAAGACTCTTAAGTCTTAAGACTGCAAATGTCCAGGGGCTGGGGATGTGGTTCAAGTGGTAGTGTGCTCACCTGGCATGCGTGAGGCGCTGGGTTCAATCCTCAGCACCACATTAAAAAAATAAAACAAAGATATATATATATATATATATATATATATATATATATATATATAGAGAGAGAGAGAGAGAGAGAGAGAGAGAGAGAGAGAGAGAGAGAGACTGCAAATGTCCAAAGGGTTCCTAAAAGCAGGATTGAAGACTTTGCATCTCTGCCTACATTTTATATCCATCTCCTTTATTCCATGTCACCTTCGATTCCAGGAACAAAGTGTGATCTGATGAGCATCTTGTGATGAATCCAAGCTCCTCACTCCCCTACCCACAGGCAACAGTACCTTCCTTATCTCAACAAGGCCTGCCTGACCAATCCTGAGATAATGATGGACAGACCACACCTGATCAAGATCACCTGCTTTGGGCTTGTGCATAGTGGCACACACCTGTAATCCCAGCAGCTCAGGAGGCTGAGGTAGGAGGATCACAAGTTCAAAGCCAGCCTCAGCAACTTGGTTATGCCCTAGGCAACTTAGTGAGACCGTCTCAAAATAAAATTTTTTTAAGAAAGGCTGGGGATGTGGCTTAGTGGTTAAGCCCCTCTGGGTTCAATTCCTCATGCCAAAAAAGGAAAGAGATCACTGCTTTGGCAGCTATGAAAAGCCTCCAGCTGTGCAGACCCCAAACCCTTGCTCTCATTCCCCTTTTGATAAAACCTCAGAGTCACAGTTGTCCCCTCAAAGACAGGGCTAAGGACATGGGTCCCCTTACAGTTCCTTTCCTGCTCTTCACCGTTCCCCGTCCTGTTTCTGTTTGGTTTCCGGGTTAGGTGGCCGGAGCTGGTTCGTTGTATTCCCAGAGTTAGGCCCTGGCCTAGGACACCGGATAACACTGTGTCCTTGCACTCTCACTCCAGAAAGGTGAACAGGGTTGGATCAAGGAAGAAGCAGGGAAGATAAAAGAGGGATGCAGCCCCTCAGGTGGAAGGCTAAACAGCCCCAGGGTGGCGGCAGAGGAGCTTCAGAAACACACACACTCACACCAGCTTTTAGCCAGACAGTGGCTTTTACTGAGCTCCAGTGGGGCTGGCCTGGTATTGCTGGTGCGGCAAGCTGCCACTGAGGACCAGTCTGTGGCAAGATGGGAGGTGCAGTGGTGCACGTCTCAGGGTTGCCCTTTGGTGTCACTGGGGTGGCTCAGAAGGGGACAAACACCAGGGTTCTCTGGAGACCAGAGCTGACCACTGAAGCCCTTCAGCCTCTCCCCCAGGCCTGCTGTGTCAGTCCCCAGGCCCTGAGGCAATGCCTGTGTCCTGGGCCTGTGGGGCACTGCTGTCCCCACTGCTCTGAGGGAGAAAGATGGCCAGCAGTACAATCAAAAGTATGAGTAGGCCACCTGCCACCGCCAGCCCCACGTAGATCCTACAGCGGATATTCTCCCAGCGCTTCTTCTGGGCGAGGGTCTTGGTTGTCTTGCTGAAGGCTGAACTCTGTGGATACCCCAGACACATGGGAATTAGTGGCTCCCATGGGGCCTCTGAGCCAACTCCTCCCGTCCATCCCAGCAGAGCCTGGTCCCCTGGTCCTCCTCACACACTGCCCTGGGACTCTCCTGGTCTGCTTCTGGTCTCAGACACTAGGTAGCCCTTGGCTATTAGCCCTCCCGGCTCACCCCGGTTAGCAATGCCAGCCCCCGACCTTCAGACCCAGGCCTTCTTACTGTGTGAGGCCTACCCATTGCACATCTAGGCTAGGGTGCCTCAGGAGACCCAGAGGCCTCCACCAAGGGCCTGGAGGCCTTGAGAACAGCCTGAGAGGCTCTCCCTCCCATCTGTGCTTGCCCGGGCCTCACACCATGTCCAGGAGTTGGTCTGAACGCTGCTCCAGCTCTGCCAGCTTCCCGTCACGCTCCAGGACCTTGTCGAAGTTGTTGAGCATGATTTCCGTCACCTCGTCCGCCTGCCTCTGGCATCGCTCCAACTCGTTCCCTGCCTGGGCACCAAGCCCAAGGTCAGGGCTGTATGAGGCTCCATCTGGCCCTAAGATGGAAACCTCCTTCCCCCATGGAAGGTGTAACAGCATCTTTCGCGTAAGGCAAGATGTGGGCAGAGAAGGGCTGACCTTCCGGGTGGGTGGGGCTCCTCCCTGGTCCATCAAGGCCAAGCCTAAATCAGGCCTGGCTTCCAGAGCCTCACTTCCTCTGAGCTGCCCCAGGTGGGGAGCTTCCCAGGACCCCAGACCTGTAAGTGGCATCTACCCAGTGCACATTCTCCTACGGCTTCCCACTGAACTCAGGCTAAGGTGGCCCTAAAGAAACAAGTGACTTGGTGGCAAGCCAGACAGGGAGGAGAGCCACTTCACAGGGCTAGAAAAATGGTTCTGGACCAGCTCATGTCACAGTGTCTGCCTAAGCTTTCCCAGAGTGACTCCCAGGTCCCCTCCTTGGGCCTCTGGCTGGTCAGGCCTGTTCTGCCTCCTGCCCATCCCCCATCATGTTAGTGCCCACATCAGTCCCCTTCCTGCTGAGGAACCTCAGCCTCTGGCCTCCAGCCTTCCAGTCAGCACAGAGGTGAGACCAACCCCTGAATTTCCCAGCCCGGGCAGCAGCTCTCACCTGAACCAACCCAGCCTACTCTGTAGGACTGGGAAGGGAAGTGCAGGTTCTGAGCCAGCTGGGCACTAGACACACATGACTAAGGACCAGGACAGGAAGCCTCCACCCCCCCTACCCCCACCCCCATCCCCCATCAGCTCCAGGCCCAGGAGCAGGTCCAGGGATGGTTCAGCTCCCTCCCCTCCTAACCCTCATCCCCACAACCCTGTCCCTCTTCTGTCTCCTCCTCAGAATGTCACCAAGCTCCCATTCCTGCCTGCTCTGTGGCCATTGCCCTCAGCAGGCATTCTGGCATTGGAAAGGATCTGGTGGTCCCAGGGGACTTCCTCCCCCTCTTCCTTCAGGACCCCTGAAGCTCCCCAGTGGGACCACAGGCTCCCAGGGAGACAGCAGGGACATGCCCTCCTTCTGCACCACAAGCACAGCGCTGACCCTTGCAGGTCTGGTGAGCTGGCCAGTTCTTTACAGCCTATCCAAAAACAACTCTGATGGTCAGAGATGTTCTCCTGGTGCGCTTATAAAGCCCGGTGGGAGTTTCGGGAGTTTCAAGAGACAAGCATCTGAAACCAAAACAGGTCAAATATTTACCCAGGAACTAGACAAACAACCTCCTTCTTTAGAAGGGTCTGGCAACCACAGGTGGTGGGGTGCACTCACAGGCTGGGGAAACTGGGAGAGTAATGGCTGCTTGCTTGTGTCCTCTCCCAAGTCCCCCTCCCCTCTATTGCCACATCTTCCCAGGCAGTCTTATTCCACATTCCAGAAGTCCAAGGCAAATGCTCGGGAATGGACAAAGATTCAAAAATGAGAAACATGGCTAGAGACAGGAAGATACTGGGTGTTATCTTTTGTGTGATGAACTCTACAGCTGTGGCTATCCTGCTCCAGTACAGGGTGACACCAGGTCAGTTCTCCTAAGAGCTGGCTGTGCCCCCAGATGCAGTCAGCAGCAGTCTCCCTCTCCGAGCCCAGAGAGGCCCCTTCCTGCTCTATCTATCCTGAGAGAAAACAGAGACTCAGGGCTCATCGCTCTTTGGTCCTGCTCAGCCCTGGGTAAAAGGACACCAGGTGCACAGTCTCTGTTGGCATGTGAGAGAGAAAGCACTGGAGAGGACCCGGAGGGCAGGGTCCAGGCTGCCCTGCCTCATTTGTGACTCAACCCAGTGCCTGGCAAAGGGCAGACACAGCACGTGATACGTGTTTTCTGAATGGACTGAGCCTGTTTTTGCAGGGACACCACCCAGACAGTGAAGAACCAGAGCAGGACAGAGGGGCCGAGTGGGCTGGAGAAAGCGAGTGTCAGAGAGGAGAGCCGCTGGAGGTCAGGAAGCCCTCTGACTCCACAGCCACGGATCAAAGTGAGGGAAGTTGGGCAGAGAGGTCAGAGAGGTGGGCCAGCGGGGTACAGGGGCAATCAGCGGAGTGTGAGGAGAGGCCTGCCAGGCTGGGGGTGAGGAGGGGCAGGAGTGCAGAGAGGAAGGGCAGTTTGGAGAGGCACTTCTGAAACCTGCCAGGGGCCTGCAGGACATGGGGTTTGGAGCCAGGGGGAGGGGTAGCAGTTGTTGCCAGACAGGGTGGCAGTTACGCAGGAAATGTTCTTGACAGATGTTCCTGTCTGTCACTCAACCCCACCTCCACACTGGGGACAGAACCCAAGACCACACATGCTAGGCAAGTGCTCTACCCCCAAGCTACATTCCCCACCTTCAAATCCCCTTTCAGGCGTTTCCAGGCCCCATACCCTTAGTTTCTCCTCTGAAAATGCAGCTCCCCCAAACCTCCCTGCTGGCCTAGGGGAGTCTATTACTTGCCCAGCACCCAGGCCCTGAGCTGGACCCCAGCACTGCAAAAACAAAAACAAAAACTGGGCTTATTGCCAGGTGCAGGGGCATGCACCTGTGAACCCAGCTGCTGGGGAGGCTGAGGCTGGAGGCCAGAGCTTGGGATCAGGTTGGACAACACAGAGAGACAAATCAACCAACCTCCTTCTCCAACTCTCTTGTCTCCTGTATCTTGTTGAGTATCCAAGAAGTCCTGTTCCCATCTGCTGGGGATGGGCGGGTGCAAGTTCTGTCTTGTGATTTCCCTGGCTCAGCGCTGAGCTCAGTCACAAAGAGCAGGGTCTTTCTGTATCCTGTTCAAATCCTGCCTCTGCCACTCACCAGCCCAGTGACCAAAAACGGAGGATATGACCTTGCTGATCCTCTGCTTCCTCATCTATAAAGTGGTGGTAATAACAATACCTACCTCACAATATTAGTTGAAGATTGTGTGATATATTCCAAACAAAAAGCTTAGCACAATGCCTGACACATACCAAATGCTCAATAAATGACTATCATTAAAATTAATGTATCCCCAATTTCCCTAGCTTTCCTTCACATGTTGTCTAGCAGTCAGATCTTAAGAACTGCACTACACTTGTGGTGGTGCATGTCTGAAATCCCAGGGACTTTGGAGGCTGAAGCAAGAGAATTGCAAGTTGGAGGCCAGCCTGGGCAATTTAGGGAGACCCTTCTCAAAATAAAAAATAAAAAGGGAATTTAAATACATGTATGTAAAAATATGTAAATAAAAATAAAAAGTGTTCCTGGGTTCAACTCCCATTACCAAAACAATAAATAAATAAATAATAAAACCTCTTGCTGGACATGGTAGCACACACCTGTAATCCCAGCAGCTCAGGAGGCTGAGCCAGGAGGATCATGAGTTCAAAACCAGCCTTAGCAATTTAGTGAGGCCCTAAAAAACTTAGCAAGTCCCTGCCTCAAAGTAAAATATAAAAAGGGGCTGGTGGCAGTGGCTGGGGCTATACTTCAGTGGCAGAGAGCCTTAGCACCACATAAAACAAATAAATAAACAAAATAAAGTCTATTGTCCATCTACAACTATAATTTTTTTGTAAAAGGGATGGGGATGCGGCTAAGTGATTAAGCATCCCTGGGTTCAGTCCCTGGTACTAATCAATCAATCAATTAAATCCTCTTAGTTTTCACAAAATGCACAAGCAATAAAACTCTTCTCTGTTGGACACTCCTTCCTTCTTTCTCTTTTCTTCTTCCCACTCTCCCTTTCTTTTCGCAGTGCTGGGGTTTGAACTCAGGGCTTTACACATGCTAGATGAGTTCTCTACCACTGAACTTACTCCTCAACCCTTTGTATTTTTAATTTTTGAGACAGTATCTGGCTAAATTGTTTAGGCTAGCCTCAAACTTGCAATCCTCCTGATTTGGCCTCCCAAGTTACTGAGATTACAGGCATGTGCCAGTCCTATTAATTAATACTTAGAGACAGGATCTCTGTGGGTTGCCCAGGCTGACCTTGAACTAACTTTCGACTCTCCTCCCTCAGCCTCTTGACCCACTGGGATTACAGGAGTGTATCACCATGCCTGGTTGTACCTAACCTAAATAGGGAATTTTTCATGAGAACTAGCATCTAGCTATCACCTCCGGTGTCATGGGCCCTTGAGTCTTGAGCAGGAACGTGGCCGCCTTTCAGAGCACATGTGCCCTGGCCTAGGCACCAGGCTGCCAGCTGCTCATTCACTCTATTTCATTCCATCTTCACGAAAACCCACTGAATGCAGTTTTACTATCCCAGTTTTATGAGGACTTTGGCCAAAGGTGTTAAATCACCTGTGGAAGGTCACAAGCCAGTAGGTAGAAAGTCTGGGAGTTGAACCAACTGGGACCCAGGGGTGTGTGTATGTGTGTGCGCATAGCCCTAGAACCTCACCCTGATAGGCAAGGGTTCCACCACTGAGCACACCCCTGCCCCTGGGGATCACATGCATAACCCCTGCTACACCGATCAGGTGAAGGAGGTCCAGGGCCTACCTGCCCCAGCCAGCCCAATCTGTGTGTCTCTGAGGGGCCTGTGGCTCGGCACCCAGACGCTCTGGGGCCTGTCCAAGGTGACTGGCTGCAGGCAATCGCTTTTCAGCTCCCACCTTTCCCATCTTGGCTTTGTTCCTGCTTTAATCCCTTTACTGTCACCACATCTGGCACAGAGGAACTGCCCGAAAAATTTTGTGTTGATCGAATGAGGCACGGAGAAGAGGAGCAGAAAAGGGAAAGGAGGAAAGGCCAGGGAAAGGGATGGAAAGAAGAAAAGGAAGAGCTAGGGACAGAGAGGGCAAGAGTGGAAGAAGAATGGGGCTGGAGGTGGCTGGTGGAGGAGAGTAAGCCTGCCCCGGCTCTGACACCTCTGACACAGAGGGACCTGGGAGAGTCCCGAGGTCCCCCAGTGCCCCCAGTAAGTTGCCCTGGCCCTGCCTTCTTCCCCGAGGCTAAGGGCAGCCAGAAGCTTCCTCTGGCCCTGACTGCTCTCTTGCCCTGTGAGCTCAGGAATGGGCTCTGGCTCTGTCCCGGCGCTTAGAGCACCAGTTTCCTGGTGGCCCCAGAGCTCAGTCTAACCTTCCTGCCCCACTTCCCCTTCCTGCCTCCAGGTCCCTGGAGACTAAGCCATCCAGCATCCTGACCCTGCCCGGGCCACCTCCATCACACCTCTGCCAGCTTCCCAAGACTCCATCTTCCCAGGAGCCCCAGGGGAGGTGGGAGCCTGGGACCTGCCCTCCCTGACACCCTTGCCTTGGAGAAGCAAGTGAGGACAGCCCAGAGTCTGCAGCAGGAGTGGGGTGACAACTCAGGGATGTCACTGAATGGAGGCTAGGAGGAGTCAGGCCTGGGCCACCCGATAACGTTGGTGGAACTTCTACAGTAAACAAGTTCTCTTCTCTCTCCCAAGGGATGTGTCCTCCAGCACTAGCCAAGGGGCTGGAACAGCCTCTACCACCTCGGCCTCTCAGGTTCCCACCCCCGGGGGGGCCAGGCCTGGCTCCTCTCCTGGATGGCTGGAGTGCCATCGGGCTGGAGTGCCACCACCTTCCACCCGCGGTGGCTCCCAGCTCCCGGTCGACCAGGGGACCGTCTTTAACAGCCAAAGGTCCCAATAAGGCGGGTATTGCCGACCCCACTTCACAGTGCGGAAAAGGAGGTTCTGAGGTTAAGTGACTCTCCGGGTCGAGCCGCCGGGATCCCAGCCCGGGTCACCCTGTCCGCCCGCGCCGCCCAGGCAGATGGGCAGCGCAGCCCAGGGCACCGTCCCGCCGCCCCCGCCCCCGCCCGGGACTCTGGCCCGCCCGGCCCGCCTGGCCCGCCTGGACCCTCACCATCGCCGCGCTGCTCCGCGCCCGCTGCCCCGGAGGAAGCCGAGGGCGGGGCCGGCGCTGGACCTTCCGAGAGGCGCGACCCAGACCTGGTAGAATCCAAAGCGGCAGGCGACAACCAAAGGTCCGCGGGGCGCCTCCTGCCGGGCTGCCGGCGCCGGAATATGGATGCCACCTGATGGACGGGTCTGTGCTTGGCGGAGGGAGCTAGTTTGGTGGATAGGGGTGAGCCTGCTGTGTGGGGCTAATGCCCAGCGGGTGGGCTATGCCCGGTGGGTGGAGGTATACCTGGTAGGTGGAGGTATGCCGGGTGGGTGGGGCTATGCCTGGTGGACAGAGATACCTGGTGGGTGGGCTATGCCTGGTGGACAGAGGTATACCTGGTGGGTGGGCTATGCCTGGTGGAAGGGCTATACCTGGTGGGTGGGGCTATACTAGGTGGGTGGGCTATGCCTGGTGGAAGGAGGTATACCTGGTGTAAGGGTTATTCCTGGTGGATGGGCTATACCTGGTGGGTGGGACTATTCCTGGTGGGTATGTTATACATGGTGGGTGGGGCTATACTAGATGGGTGGGCTGTGCCTGGTGAGTGGGGCTGTGTCTCTGGTAGATTGGACTATTCCTGGTGGTAAAGCTATTCCTGGTGGATTAGGTTATCTCTAGTCAGCCTGCACTAGGTGAATCTGCATGCTGGCCACCCCTCTGAAGCCCACTATAGGAAGTGGCACAGTGGTCATAGCAGCACTGTGGCCCTCCCAGGAGGCATAGGAAGTGGGTTCATGGGCTTAACGGGGAGGTGTCATTCACTCACTCATCACACATATGTGCCTGCCCCTATCCATTCCTTGCTGGGCCCTGGAGACATCCCCACAGGACAGGAGGGGATTTGCCAGCTTGGTAAGTAACTGACCCATAACTGGCCAGTCCCAACATCCCCACTCCGAGCCTCAGTGAGCACAGATCTGCACTCCACTGTGCAGGGCCTGCGTCCCAAGCTTAGATGGTGCATCCAGGAGTGCACTGAGGAGAGTAAGGACTGCAGTCTCCGGAAGCCTGCCTTCCCAGAGTTCAGAGAATGTTCCAGAATATGACTTCCAATCAGTCCCAATCCTCTCAATCCAACCCCTTCCCCACTCTTCCTAACAAGCTGCTTCCAGTGCTGTGAAGGCTATGGAGGAAACAGGACAGGAACCCTACCACCCACCAGGCGACTGGGCACCGGATAGAGCCCCAGGGACAGTGGGACCTGGTGGGGAGACGGAAGATCAGAAGACAGAAAGCTCATTGTGCATGCAGGGAAAGGAGGGCCACAGGCCTGTCCTGTGACCCTGACTGTGCCCAGCCTGGGGTGTGGGGGAGAGATGCTCACCCCCTCAGAACAGCCAAGACCCAGGGCCTGCTCAACCTCAGGGAAGGGACAGACAAAAGACAAACAGAATGCTCAACTTCCAGAAAATGAAAACAGGCTAATTCCTTCAACTTTTGGCTCTGGATTACAACAGGGCCATAGAAGGGAGATAGATGGCAATGGCAGCAGAGCCAGGAGGCCCTCCACCCGGCCTAACATTGCTCAGGAGCGCTTCATGACTCAGCCAGCGCTTCCAAGGAGAGGAACGAAGGGACGTGGCAGGGCCCAAGGGGGACACTGAGTCTCACAGGTCACTCTAAGATATTGTGAAGGGTTTGCATTTTCCTTATGTCAAGATCCTCAAGAAAATTCTTGTTCTTGAGAACTGTGACAATATAGAACAGGGTGGAATGAAGAAAGTTGATGTGGTGGCCATGCCAATATCCCAGCGACTCAGGAGGAGTGCAAGGATGAGGCCAGCCTGGGCAACCTAGAAAGACCCTGTCTCAAAATAAAAAATATAAAGGACTGAGGGTGTCGTTCAGTGGTAAAGTGCCTGCCTAGCACACGGAGGCCCTGAGTCCAGTCCCCAGCACTATAAATAAAACAAAAAAAGACAGGGACCCCCCCTTCCTTCTGCAAACATGCTTTCCACCCCTCCAGCAGCTTGGGCCTGGACAGCAGAGCCT